GCAGCCTGTTCCTGAAGGACTGCACCCTGTGGAAGGGACCCATGCTGGGGCAGTTCGTGAAGAGCTGCAGCCCATGGGAAGGACACACATTGGAGAAGTTTGTGGAGAACTGTCTCCCGTGAGAGGGACCTCACACTGGAGCAGGGGAAGAGTGTGAGGAGTCCTCCCCCTGAGCAGGAAGGAGCGGCAGAGACAACGTGTGCTGAACTGACCGCAACCCCGATTCCCTGCACCTCTGCGCCGCCTGGGGGGAGGAGGGAGAGAAACGGGAGTGAAACTGAGCCCCAGAAGAAGGGAGGGGTGGGGGGAAGGTGTTTTAAGATCTGGTTTTATTTCTCTCTGTCCTACTCTGATTTGATTGGTGATGAATTAAACTCCCGTTTCTCCCCAAGTTCAGTCTGTCTTGTCCGTGACGGTAATTGGTGAGGGATCTCTCCCTGTCCTTGTCTCGACCCTCGAGCCTTTCATCACATTTCCCCTCTCCTGTCCAGCTGAGGAGGGGGAGTGATAGAGCAGTTTTGGTGGGCACCTGGCATTTATCCAGGCCAAACCAAAACACCTCCCAAGTGAGTAGGCTAGGGATGAGCGAGAGGTTGGGAGGGGACAGAGATAGGTGGCCTAAACTGACCAAAGGGATATTGCATACCATTTGATATCATGCTCACCAGTAAAATCTCGGTGAAAGGAGGAGGAAGGGCACATGTTTGTGATTATGGCAGTCTTCCCAAGCAACTGCAGTGCCTTTTGAGGTGCTGCTTCCCTTGAAGTAACTAAAGTCCTTGGCTAGAAGAGACAGAGGAACATCTACAGCAAGGGCTGGAGAAACACTGGAGTTAAGGGAATTCTTAAGAAGGGAGAAAAAAAGGAAAAAAGGTTCTTTCTTTCCTTCCTTTTTTTTTTTTTTTTCTCCCTATCCTGTAGGAGAGGAGTGAGAGGGAGTCGGGTTGGGTGTTTATTGGCTGGGCATGTCTTATCCACTGGTCATAAGCACGTGCAGGATAATGCTTACAGACATGCACTGAACTGATGGTGCTGCTAATGAACAGGGAAGCCTCCAAATTTGAGATCTTGGTGTACTAAGATACTTAATGAATCGACTGTGTAAGGTTCTTGTTAAAAAAATCTCATTCAGTTTTAGAAAGCTTTAAAATTACTTATTTCCCTCATTAACTTGCTGTGGAATTGGATTATTAGAAATAATACCTGCGTTTTCCTTGGCTGTCTGCTCCAACTGTTTAATTCAAAGGAAAAGTAATAGAAATAAGCATAACCTAAATGTGCTGCAACAGAACAGTCATCAATGTTTTAAAAGCCTTACTGTAATCCATTTACTTTAAGTGGATTTCCAAGCCTGTTGTGAGTAGGAGCTGTTCCTCTTTGTACAACATACAATCTAAAAACCTAAGTAAGTGAGCCCCAATGTTGTCAGCACCAGAGAAGTCAGACTCTGCCCTGTCGTCTGCTTGCAATCTTTCAGACAAGTGAGGCTACGCACAGTGGAGATGGGAACCCAGACAAGGATCTCAGGTCAGCATACAAGGAAACAACACAGCATTTGGAGCAAGATGTGGTGGGTTTTTTTTTTTATTTTAGTGCCACTGTGATCGTCACTTAAGGTCATTTTGTGTCCAGACAAGATTTTTCAGGAATAAGGTGCTGCACAAATGTAGAATGTTAGCGAAACATAGAAACATTCTGCATTTTTGGAAGGGACAGTATGGTCATGTACCAAATGGGAAAGAGGTAGAGGCTGTGCAGCAGTTTTGAAAGGCTTTGAAAAGAAAGTTAAGGTAGAAAGGTCTAGCAGTCAATAGACTACTTAAGCTTCTGGCATGGTGAATTACAAAATGTTAGTAAATAGGAGTAGTGAGGGGAAGATTTTTTGAGTCGAGGCTGGTGCTTAGCCCTAGGAGGCTGAATGGGCATGCCAGGAGGTTGAATGGGATGCTGATGACTAGATGCAAGGAGGATGTATGTCCATGTGTGCTCAAGAACGGGACCCTGCGTGTGTTAGAGCTGATCTTTGCATCCATGGGGCTGAGGTGTAAATTGTGTGGAAGGAATACTAATGCATCCAATGCTGACAAGGCCTTGAGGCCAAAAATTCAAAAATTATCCTATCCTTCCACCAGTAGAATGAAAATTATTTGAGAATGGATCAAAGTAAAGGCAGCTTGCAATATCTCCTCTTCTGCTTCTTGAGCCTTATGGCAGAGTGTTCTCAAGCATACTCATATAGCTACAAAAATGAGGAACCTAACTAAAAGAAAAAAAAAAGAGATTTTACCTTTTAACACTTTGGAAGAAGTGATAAAGCCTGGGAAACCTCTGAATTCACAGTGTTCTTATATTACAGGAGCTGGCCAATGTGACTTAGGTGGTGTGGTTCTGTTAGCAGAGCGACTAGACTTAGGGAGGTCTGCTTTCTCCAAGGTATGTCCCTTTTCATCTATAGCGTGGCTGTAGTGATATAAGGACCTTTGTTCCTATCCTCATTGCATTCTCCTGTAGGTTAACATTTACAAAATATTTTCAATCATTCTTTTTGCCAAACCTTTTCTGATAT